TCTGGCACCCACTTTTTGCTTGATGTTCAGGCAGTGCTTCTTGTAGGTAAGAGCACGGTCCAGAGTGACTCTGAGGTATTTGGGTGTGCTGCAATGCTCCAGTGGGATTCCTTCCCAGGTGATCTTCAGAGTTCAGGATGCTTCTCTGTTCTTGAGATGAAAGGCACATGTCAACACTATCTGTGAAATTATCATCTTCATCATTATTATCTATGCAATTCTGTGAAATTATTATCTATGAAACTATTATTATTGCCATGCCCCCACAGAGACTGTATTACTTTCTCTAAGTCAGCCTCCCTTAGTTAGAAGGGGTTTGGTTCTTTATTGTGCAGTTTATGGGAGGGAGCCATAGGAAGCTCTTTCCTTTTCAGGCTCATAGTCCCACAGCCAGATCCAGCAGCTTCCTTGGAGCCAAAGCCATTGGGAAAAAGGGATGAGAGGAGCAAGGAAGCTGGGCACACCGCACGTTGAGAAGTTGGCCAACCTGCGATGTTGGTGCCCCAGTGAAAGTGGAGAGGGAAAGGAGGATGTTTTATATGTATTTTATTTTATATGTATTTATTTATTTATCGAGGCAGTGTTTCTCCTGCCTTTCCCCATTGAGGGGGCCAAGGCAGCCAACAGCCTTTATGAAACACACACAGTACAAACGCTTGTGTTTCTCCCTCCTTTGCAGACAGGGAGCTCCGGGGGCTTCGACTTGGCCGGCCTCCTCAACAACCCCAGCTTCATCAACATGGTGAGTATTTATTTGTCATGTCAGGGCAACCAGTCAATTATATTACATTTCTAACAGCAAAAGCAAACAAACAGACAAAATACAAAATTTGTGGGTTTGGTAGTTGATTAAATGTCCTTTGACCAGTATCTGGCCACTTGGAGTGCTTCTGGTGTTGCTGCAAGAAGGTCCTCCATCATGCATGTGGCAGGGCTCAGGTTGCATTGCAGCAGGTGGTCAGTGGTTTGCTCCTCTCCACACTCGCATGTTGAGGATTCCACTTTGTAGCCCCATTTCTGAAGGTTGGCTCTGCATCTCGTGGTGCCAGAACACAGTCTGTTCAGCGCCTTCCAAGTCGCCCAGTCCTCTATGTGCCCAGGGGGGAGTCTCTCATTTGGTATCAGCCATTGGTTGAGGTTCTGGGTTTGAGCCTGCCACTTTTGGACTCTCGCTTGCTGAGGTGTTCCAGCGAGTGTCTCTGTAGATCCTAGAAAACTATTTCTAGATTTAAGTCGTTGACGCGCTGGCTGATACCCAAACAGGGGATGTCTCTGCCTTGGTCCTTCCACTATTGACTGCTACTTCCCGGCGGATGTCAGGTGGTGCAATACCGGCTAAGCAGTGTAATTTCTCCAGTGGTGTGGGTCGCAGACACCCTGTGATAATGCGGCATGTCTCATTAAGAGCCACATCCACTGTTTTAGCGTGGTGAGATGTGTTCCACACTGGGCATGCATACTCAGCAGCAGAGTAGCACAGCGCAAGGGCAGATGCCTTCACTGTATCCCGTTGTGATCCCCAGGTTGTGACAGTCAGCTTTCGTATGATATTGTTTCTAGCACCCACTTTTTGCTTGATGTTCAGGCCATGCTTCTTGTAGGTAAGAGCATGGTCCAGAGTGACTCCCAGGTATTTGGGTGCGCTGCAATGCTCCAGTGGGATTCCTTCCCAGGTGATCTTCAGAGCTCGGGATGCTACTCTCTTTTTGAGATGAAAGGCACGTGTCTGTGTTTTGGATGAGTTGGGGATCAGCTGGTTTTCCCTGTAATAGGCAGTAAGAGCACCTAGAGCTTTGGAAAGCTTCTGTTGTACCATCTCAAAGCTCCCTGCTTGAGCGGTAATGGCACGGTCATCAGCATAGATGAAACTCTCTGTCCCTTCTGGCAGTGGCTGGTCATTTGTGTAGATGTTGAACATGGATGGAGCAAGCACGCTCCCCTGAGGCAGGCCGTTCTTCTGTTTCCGCCATCTGCTTCTCTGGCCCTGGAACTCAACAAAAAAGCTCCTGTTTTGTAGCAGGTTTCCTATGAGGCGGGTGAGGTGGTAGTCCTTTGTGATATGTGACATGGTGAGTGAATGAGTGAGTGGCTTCTCCCACCGACCAATTGGATAAAACAGAGACAGTGAAACTACCCTATTGGCTTGAGTCTAAGGCTTCTCCTTTGGGGACTCAATGGCCTCTCCAAAATTGGTGTGTGCATTAGATTTGCAAAATATAGCAATCTGAGTGCTGAGGCAAAGCACAAAAGGGGAAGGTGTATTTATGTATACCCCGCCTTCTGTCTCCCAAAGGAGACTCAAAGCGGCTATGTATTATTATATTATAACATATTATTATATTACATAGTTGTTGCTGTTGTTATTATATACCTTTTGCCCCGCTTTATCTCTCCCAAAGGAGACTCAAAGCAGTTTGGCATAAAAGCATCAGCATACAATTAAAATATTATATTATTATTATTACCCCACTTCCCTCCCTTGTTTTAATTCAACAGGCAGCAAACCTGGTGAACAACCCACAGTTGCAGCAATTGTAAGTATGAAAAACTTTGTCTGGGAAAGGGGTCTGTCTCCCTTTCTGGGCAATCGGTCTGCCTCTCCTTCGGAATCCCATGCATCCTATGATAGGTGGTGATACATGTAGAAGGGATCCCCAAAGGCCATCCAGCCCAGCCCTGTTCTGAACTAGGAGTCGTTTGTAAGTCAGATTTCAATAACTCAGGGATGGCCTGTGTATATGTGTGTATATATGAGATAGATATAGTATCCTAGATGTGGGAGGGTACCATGAAGGCCATCCAGTCCAGCCCCATTCTTAACTAGGAGTCATGTGTGTAACTCAGGGATGTGCTCTGTGTGTGTGATTGTATATGAGATAGAGTATCTTGGATTGGGGAGGGGTCCCCAAAGGCCATCCAGCCCAGCCCCCATGTTTACCTGGGAGTGGTTTGCAAGCCAGGCGTCCCTTCCTCCCTCCCTCTGTCTCTGCTTGCAGGATGTCGGGGGTGATTTCGGGAGGCCAAGCCGCCAGGGCTTCCGCCTCCTCCTCCTCTTCGGCCCCCGGAGCCGCCGCTGGCCCCAACGACCTTGCCAGCCTCATCCAAGCGTAAGTCACATCTGCCATTAAAATCGCAGAATCATATCAACACATACCTAGTACCCACCAGAAGTGCTTAGAAACCCAGTTACTGAATTGTAACTAAATGATAACTGAGATTTGCAAAATTAAACCCAAAAAGTAAGGGGTCAGTTTTGATTCTAAAATACTTGGTGTGGGCCTGGCAAATGCATCGGAAATGACTTCCACAGGGTTCAATTCTGTCCCCCATGTTGTTTAACATCTACATGAAGCCGCTGGGAGAGATCATCCGGAGTTTTGGGGTACGGTGCCATCTGTACGCAGATGATGTCCAACTCTGTCACTCCTTTCCACCTGCTACTAAGGAGGCTGTTGAGGTCCTGAACTGGTGCTTGGCCGCTGTAACGGTCTGGATGAGGGCTAACAAATTGAAATTGAATCCAGACAAGACAGAGGCACTCCTGGTCAGTCGCAAGGCCGAACAGGGCATAGGGTTATAGCCTGTGTTGGATGGGGTCGCACTCCCCCTGAAGACTCAGGTTCGCAGCTTGGGTGTGATGCTGGACTCATCGCTGAGCCTGGAACCCCAGGTTTCGGCGGTGACCAGAGGAGCATTTGCAAAGTTAAAACTTGTGCGCCAGCTGCGCCCGTACCTTGGGAAGTCTGACTTGGCCACGGTAGTCCACGCTCTGG